GACCTGGCCCCGAGGGTGTGATGCGTCATGACACTCGTCAGCTGCGGACATTGCGGTCCAAAAGAAGCTCGTTGTAGTAAATTGGAAACGGCAACATCGAAGCAGGTGTGGGCCGCCTAGCTCCACATCGCCATGAGACGGCCGAACCGAAACATGATACTTCTCTACCGACTCATGCTGGCTGAGTGGCTTCAACTGCTTGATTCGCCAACAAGATTTGGCGGCAAGCTGCACCCCCCAAAAAAGCTACCGCCGTCGCTGGAGAAAAACGCCACAGTATATGCTGCCCAAGTCACATCTCGATTAGGAAGTGTGTCCAAGGACAAGATGTGCCTAGCATGCTACATATGTACATACGGACATAGATGCATGCTATGTCCGTACATGCGCTCTGCACTAAACTCCCAGACGAGCGTGGCAATTGTCTTTCTTCTGTCGGCCCCGTCATAGCGTTCGGCTGGGACCGAAGGCAGGTCAGGGTACTGCGGAAACACGCCAGGAGCCAGCGCTGGGAGCGTGCCCCCTTTGTGCCCGTCGTCCCGCTCCGGCCGCAAAGTAACCAGATCCTCAACACGCAGGGAATCGCCTCGCGCAAAAACACTGCATACTCCAAGATTTAAAAAAAGAAAAGAAAAAGAGGGCTATCCTAGATCGTCGGCAGTGTACTCGCCACGCAGGTAGATGCACATATGAAAACTCGTCAGTTAAGCCCAAAGCAGCGCTAGATTGATTGTAGGCCGATTGTGATTGCTACTCGCTTACACGCGTCGTGATTGCGGGGACTGTGCATGCGAGCTTATGACATCTCGAACAGACTTTGGCTGGCCGTTGCTTTACGAGCCTACCAGCCAGGACGGCTGTCGACGTGAGGATCCCTTAGGCCTCGCCATCCCTGACATGTGGCTTGCTGCTGGAAACACTCAACACAGCCTGGTCGATTATCGGCGTGTTACGATTGCCTTTGGTCCTGCCGCACAAGAACGCTCTAGAGCCGCAGCAGCGTGTCCGATTCGACCGGAGCACAAGTGTGGAGAAGTAGCGTCGTCAGGTCACACACGCAAAGCATCGCGGAGATGTAGCACGATATGCTGGGCGTCTGCAAAGTGGGGCAGATAATCGACAAAGGGCGCCTTAGCACTCCCAAGTGCCGCGCGCAGTTGCTAGCCGCTCCAGTGCCTGGTGGTGAATTGATCGTGTCTGAGTGGTGACAATCAGCAGCAGATCGAGAAGGGTGCCGAAAGCATGGCCAGCCGAGCCTGGGCTGTCAGCAAGTGGTCAATCGAAATGGTATGGGATGCGTGCAGGGCCTACTAAGGCGTTCACACCACGACCTGCAGCCTGCCCCCTGCTACTGCCGGGTCACCAGCTTCGACGCTGAGAAGCTTGTGCAGCCAACGAGGAGGGCGAGGTGGCTAGCAGACGAGCGATGAGATGAAGCCGCTCCAAAGCGATTCATGCACCATTCGATACACAGACTAGCAACATCACGTTTCAATGCTTCATCAGGTTTTGCAAAAACTGTAGACAATGTAGCGTTCGCGCCAGCAGGATGGACGGGCAAGTCAGCTGCGGCTTTCCAATACAATTGCCAGCTGTGCTCACACTGTCCTTTGCCTGCCCGGTGCTGGACTGCGAGCGTCGGTCGAGTCTCTGCTTTAAGTTGATGGCGGCCCAGGGTCATGGATACAGCGGGACTGGTGGATTACTTCTGGGATTATCCTCCATTAACCAGTTTGGAAGCGACTTGGTCCTGCTGCTGCGACGCTACTTTAACACACACTATATCCTCTCGCCTGCCTACCCTACCTTGCTGCGTTGCGTTGCGTTGCGTTGCTGCGTTGCCAGGCTCGAGCTGTCCGGCCCTGCACTCTAATACCTAATCGACATATCCCACCCGTTCGAGCACACACCATCGCCACGCCTTTTATCGCGCCTCCGCACCCTCCCGCGACTCATCTCTCACTTCGGCCCTTCCAACCATCAACATCGACATTGACATCGAAACATCTCCCAGTGAACTGGCTTTGCCCCCCATCCCTGCCCGTCCTGGTCTGTGTTCAGCTCAGCCGTTCATCTCGGAACGACGCTCTTTTGCCGTTAGTTCCTCCCCAACCTTATTGGATGTTCCGCGCTGCCCACGACTCGCTAAAGACGCATTCCCCCCGCTCTCACGCAACCTACCGTGCGATCGCTCGAGGCATCAGAAGCGGACCGCTTGGACCCTCCTACGACACGCTGCCCATCTTCCGCTCCAGCAGTTGCCGCACCGTTCCACAACTAACCTGTGCTTTTGCGAGCCAGCATTGACCGGCGGTAACACAAGATAACTCCTGGTGGCTGCTTTCCTGCATTGCGCCGTGCCGCATCCACACGCACGCACTTCCCCCTCCCCAGCCTGTCAGCCAGCCTGCCTGCCAGTCAGCGTCTCTTACTTTGCGTAACCATCCGCGCGTAGAAACAACCACACTTCCAATGCATGCTCCCTCCTACCAGTAGTCTCCCAAACGTCTCCGACTCTTGGACCGAATGATCTCAACCAATTCCTTCGGCCCTTCGCCGCCAGGCGCGCACACCCGGATGAGCACGAGCTCATCGCCACAGCCCTCCATGTCTTCCGCTAGCGACTCCCCATTTACCACTCCCAGCTACGATTCAAACGTATTCACCATCCCAGATACAACGTCAGAAGAGAGGACAGACGGACGAACAGGATCCCTCGAGGTAGTGCCAAAAGTGGAAGAGACGGAACTGCAACTGGCCGATGTCAAGGAAGAGCCATCTCCGGAAGACGCTCCCATCTCCCCAACAGAACCAGTTCGGATAAGACGAGCCCGTGGTCGACCAAGGATACACCCTCCTCGCTCACCAACGACCCTTGCCAAGCAAGCCAAAGCTCGATCAAAGACTGGCTGCACGACATGCCGGAAGCGAAAGAAGAAGTGTGACGAGACCAAGCCATTCTGTAATCGCACACCCAACCCCAGCGCTGCCAAGTGTATGCTAACGATGAGTAGGCTTGTCATGTCAAAAGAACAACATTCATTGCGAAGGTTACAAGCCTGTCGAGATTTGGAAGAGCGGAAAGGAGCGCGCAGCAGAAGGTTTGTAGTTCTACCTCAACCCCCTTTGCTTTTTCAGGAGTGGGCCAGGCTAACACTGCAACAGCCCGGAAGCGAAGTCAAGATGTCAAGTTCGAGCTGCCGCCTCTAATGGAGGGCGTTGAGAACGATCTCGATCGCAATCTCCTCCAGCATTTTGTCAGCAGGGCCAGCGCCGTACTCACCTTACACGGAGACAAGTCAACAAACCCTTTTACTAAGATCTTGCTGCCCATGGCCCTCCAGCACGAAGGCTTGATGCATTCAGTATTGTGTCTATCTGCCTCTCATATGTACTCTGTCAACCCATTGCAGGAGTACGAAGACAGACAGGCTTTCCATCGAGGCAAAGCTCTGCAGCTTCTCAAGCACGATCTCGAACGGCAAAAGGCCGGCGAAGGCGGGGTCATGGTCTACGAAGACTCTAACGTGGCACAGATCCTTCTTCACCTTCTACATTCGATATGCGACGGCAACACATCGGGTGAATACCGGATGCACATGATTGCGGCAAAGCAGATTGCGATGAACCAGAAGTCCTCTAACCCAGAATTCCAGACGCTCTTTGACGAGTTCTTCTACTACCACTGGATCGCTAGCCAGATCACATCCCTTGACGGCGCCGAGGTACCGATGATGGACGACTTCAACCTGCCCTTCAAGATCAGCCCGGAAACAGCGGGGCTTATTGGCGTATCGGACGGTCTGTTTGGCTTCATCTCCAAGATTAGCAACCTGCGACGGAAGATTCGTGCCCGTATCGATGAGAAGCTTGAGCCCATTATGGACTACGAAGCTCTGCTCTCAGCACATGCCATCGACACTGGTCTGCGTGGATGGGTGTGCCCCCATACACCAGGATCCCCTCGCTACACAATCTCCATGCTCTATCGCCAAGCGACATGGGTGTATCTGTATCGCACAACCAAAGATTCAAAGCCTCACCCTTTTATCAAGAGCGCTGTCGATGACGGTATCCGATACATTAACGAGCTACCCGCAGAGGGTTGGGTTCAAAGCAATGTTCTGCTGCCCCTCTTTTTGATTGGGTGTGCAGCGTTTGAGGAAGAGCAGCGTGTCGAGATCAACCGAGCTTTCGCCGGACTGATTGCATGCACTGGGCTAGGCAACATTGGATTCGCAAAAGAGGTTGTTGATCAAGTTTGGGAACTTATGAGCTCTGATGATCCAGAGGTACAGAAAGAGAGCTGGGACTGGGAGCGTCTGATCAACGCCCGTGGATGGGATTTCCTGGCGACTTGATGTGGAATAGGAGTCGCCAGGACACTTCGCACATGCTTCAGCCAGCCACAAACTGCCTGAGGGAATCGCGATACGCTTGGCGCGTCATTTGCGACTACTTCTCCTGGATGAGGCCTTCTCACTGTTTTCACAGTGTGGGTCAGGATGATGTAGCCGATGCTGAAGACAGGGTGTGTTGCGGCGCACGGCTCTCATGGCCACGAGAAAGCTGCACCGTGACGCAACACCTCGGCAGCATATTCGGCTCTCTGGGTTTCTTATTCAAACGGGGATTGTAAGGGCGTCAAAAAGGAGTCATGGATTGCTTGGTGGACCGATTGCGTGGTTCTTCGACGGATTTAACGAGGGTCGGACCGGCAGCGATGGGCTACATGTATGAGCCTCACAACCAGGTTGCATCAGGAGTGGGTCTGTTTTTTTTTCTCCCCTTTCACACATACGGTGGTACTGCGTTAGGGTAACGGGGAAAACGGCTTTGTTTTGGTTCAGCACCTTATTTTTGTTCTATTTTTTTTATTTCTATCTCGCTTTTTCTACCATGAGCATCGCTTGTTTTGCTTGGCTGCCGTTTAGCTGCAGGAACCTTGCGCATCACAACACTTTGCTTTGGACAGCGCCCATGTAAGGTCTGGTGCATGAATGCGTACCAACACGCACACGCACACACCTACACACCTACACACATATTCAAACACACACGCACACACCTACACGCCTACACACATATTCAAGCACACACACACACACACACCCAAAGCGTGGCGTCGACGAGGCAAACTCGTACACATGGCATTGCAGCACTTGTTGAATTAGGACCGACTGTAGTTTGCAGGCATTCTGTTTTTTTTTCGTTCGTTGCGATGACGACACGTATGTATGCATAGGAGGGCAAGGTATATACATCGCGGCACAGCAACACGCATCCGATATCTCCACTCTTTGCTTGCTGGAATCTGTAACATAGACTTGGGAAGGGAACGCATAGCAGAGCAAGCGATTGACTGATGTACCTCGGTGACTGGAGTGAGGCACAAGTGCGCATTGCTAAGACGCCGCTGGTCGCCGGGCTGGCTGGCTGGTATGCTTTGGATGCATGCTAAGACACACATGGCTGGCTGCAGGCTCTCACGACCGAACCATGCCACAGCACCCCGACCTATCCACCTTGAAGCGGGAACATGGTTCTTTCTTCCTCCAATCCGCGCGTGCACCCGCAACCCAACACTCTGGCGGGCATCCTTCGCGCGTTTCGTTGGAACGACGATATTTGGATGCACGGGGAGACGAGTGGGAATCCGGCCGAGTCAGTAAACCTTGACGCCTGCAGCCACAGACATCTCAAAGCGCGCTGGTGCATTTAACCGGCCGAAGAGAGCGGGAGCGTTCCCAGCGACCGCTCCAGAACCCAAAGGTTGGAACAGTAGCCTGCTTCTGTCTTGCTCGCGTACAGTATTACCAGCCTGCAACTGGTACAGACCTGAGCCACGAGACGAGGGACACGAATGCCGACAGGCAGATCGGCCCAAGGTACCAGGGTCAATCTCCGGCAATACTTACGTGGGGGGAGTGCGCCACTCGGCCTCACGTCCAGTCACAGTAATTGGGAGTGGGTCGGCCTGAGAGGCGCTTACTGGAGGCCTACTGCTCGAGTACCGCCGCTTCACCTTCCTGGCGGGCAAGGATGACGGCATGCCCAATAGCAGCAACACGAAGAATCACAATCAGCATACAGGCATTAATCGGCCCTTTTGGCCTTTGATGACCCCAGATTGCATCTGACTGGCCAAGTCCCCGCTTCGTCACCCTTCCCCCCCACGCTTGTCAGGCAGGGTTTGTGTCGTATACTGTATGCCATGCGATTGTTGGACATCATGTCACTTGAGTCAAGGAAGCTACCCATTTTCCATTGTCGTGTGTACCTGGCACTAGGTATGAAAATGGAGCTTTTGCAGGAACCCGATCACAAGCATCCTTCGTGTTATGTGCAACGTTGCAGCCATAAGGCACATGTGCGCAACGGTTCACGGGCGACATGGTACAAGGGTCATGGACAACGTTCGCCCGAGAGCAAGCTTTAGTATGGGTCTGCCACAACGTTCCCGGAGCAGCCGTTGATTTATTGTTCCTTTCGCAGCTTGGTACATGTTGCAATGCATGCACACCAAGCTGAGTCGCTGCTGCTCTTCCAATCTCGTCATCAATCTCCGTGAGCCCGGGAGCCTATTCCGGGATGAGCAGTGTGCATACATACACTATCCCCAGGGCGATAACAACATCAAGGCAAGTAATCACCATCTGTTGTCGCCATCGGAAAGGGGCCTCAATTTCTCTCTCCAAGCCGACCAGATCGCCCCGTTATCCGTTACCTCACATTCGCAATCGACAAATCAAGGGTTCTCTTCTCCACGACCCGTTCACAGCAGGCCCACTCATCACGCCAACTTGGGACTGACACAGGCAAGACCCGTTGATGCTTCTCAACAAAGTATCCCGCCGCACGTGCAATTCCCCTTCACCCGGGTCTGGACACTTCAACCCGCTTATGTCACCCATATTATCATTATCAAAATGGCAAGACTGATTATCGTGCACGTACGTTTGAAAGCATTAAGGCGATCCTCCCAACTCCTTGTCCTGGAAATTATGCTCTCATTTATTTTATTTTTATTTTGGGTCGCCGCATAACCGTTTACTATGCGCACGGTGCCTGCATATCGTCGACCGATCATTCTTTTTTTCTCCTTCGCCCCGTTATGCATAGACCACATTTGTCATGGGCAATTAAGAGCAGGAATGGAAAGAAAAGATAAAAAAAATCTCCGTCGTACAAGGTACATGACCAGAGTGGTGGGATGCCGTTCCCAGACTCTGGGGAATAAGACCGTCATCAATTGTGCATTGTGTCTGCCTGAGAGGTCCGAGGTAACGAGAAAAGATAGGGCTTGGTTTTTTACGCCCGTCACATGTGTCAGACATGTGGCCCGCACGTGGTCATTGGGCGCCTTACACCGTTTTGCTTTGGAGTCTGGGTTCGCTTACACCGATGTAAGCTGTTGTGTACGTATGTGTGTATGTGTGTGTGTGTGTGTGTGGCTAAACTCGCTGGCACACCAAGGCGTATGCCGACGCAAGCCATCTGAAGTAATTCGTCAAGAAGACCGGTGTGATTTGTGAGAATTACGGGAATAGGGAAAACGTGACTGATTTTCCATGCGAACCAGATGTTCTGGGATAGAGGTAGTCATACGTGAGGCGTTGTCGTTTCGCCTCCGAGTGATGCACCTGCAGCTGACACAGGGAAACAGGGTTTTTCTGTGTCAGCTTTCACATGGCTACGCGTGGCTTTGGGGATGGTGGTGGATGGGCAACCTGAATGACAGGTCGGGGAAGGGTACCGCCGGCCCAGCCCTGTTCTTTGTCTTGCTTTGATATTATCAGACCATATCTGAGTATGAGGATGAGAAAAGTGTGGTGGAGGAGTGGTCGTCGTCGTGGTTCGATCGGAAATCGCCGCCGCCGTGTGACTTTGGGCTTATAATCATCTATCAGCCGAAGTCGAAATAAAAACAGCGATTGATATCATTATTACAAAAACTCGGTATTGGGCAAGGTAAGACACTCCCCGGGGTCGATGACGATCATATCATGCATGCTAGTGAGCCGCAATAAGTAGAAGGGGATATTCTCCCCAAGGCTGACGACTGATCACCATGGCAGGTTGCGGATACAGATGTTAGTGCTGGGTACGTATAGCGGTAGTGGAGGGTGACGGGAGGTCCCAATAGGCTGGGCACCGTATCCGCCTGCCTTGCAATTATCATCGCTCAATATTGCCCAGCCTCAAGCATAACCAGAAAAACTTGTTGCCTACAAGTAGTTTGTGTGTGTGGGTGTGGGTGGGTGCTTAAACCACATTTGTATACATGAAGAATAGTCATGATGCTCCGCGGAGGTAGAGTCAAGATGCAGGTGGACATGAGATGAGATGGAGGGAATGGACATGGACACAAAGATTTCGGCAATCGTTACCGTCGCGATTAGTGCAATGCACCTGACGCATAACCCACCCACCCAGCCACGCCATCGCACAGTGCAACATTGATCAAAGCGCACGATGGACTATCTCCCGCTTTCTTCCTCGGTGACCCTTTTTTTTCCTGACTCTGTGTCGCTGCACAAGACTGCACGATGATGCAAAACCCACATACACAAAAAAATCCAAGACACCGCAAAAAAAAAAGTGAGGCAACCAGCCGAAAAAAATGGATCTTCATACATACATAGCAACCAAAAAAATCGGAGGTAGCTACGTACACAGTATATAAAGCACAAGATAAACTGGGTCTCTCCATCGGCCCTTTTTTGACTCTCTTCACTCTGAACCAAGGAAATGGTCTACCGCGTCTCTTTCCCCCCGCTTTCCCCGTTGTTCTACCGCCCGTATTCCCACACAACCCACCAACAAATCGATATGCAAGCCACACACAACACACAGCTGCACCAACTAACCAACCCTACATGTACATACATAAGTACGTCTCATATGTACGTACCCTCCCCCGCCGATCTCCCAAACGGCCTGCAACCTCCGCGACGCTCGAAATCCGCAATATACATACATGCATACATACATACATATATAGAAGTAACTNTCCGACCCCGACCCAATCGGACGTCTGTGATCCTAAACGGGAAGATCAGCGCTACATACACTTTCGCATAGTCCAGCATGAGTCGGTGATTGTAGCCTGGGGCCACCGCCTGTCGCCGCTTACGGCAGATAAACGGCAAGTCCAAAGCCAAAAAAAAGTCAGTGTCACTCAGTCAGTCAGTCATGTAAAGCGCAAACGAAACGGATCCGACGGAAGGGGAGGGGGAGCGGCGCTGTTACATGTAGAGTAATAAGTCCATGTAGGTAGCGCATGCTTTGCTCAATCCGTGGTGTTGCATACAACCATCACCACTATTATACGTCAAGTATAAAGTTCACAGCCGGGGGAGGGGGGGCATGTGTGTGCGTGTGCACCATGTGCAACGCGTCGTGTGCGTGTATGTGGTGGGTTGTTAGTACTTACTACCCGAACGGGAGCCGGTTTGAGTTTTTGCCTCTCTGCCTGTACATGGCATGTAACAAGGGTATGTGCGTTTGAGTGGCGACAACAGCAAGCAGCCCTTTTCCGCCTGTTCCGTGCCGGACCAACGCGCTGCGAGTGTTATCGCGGGATAAGTGGGGCGGGGGGTTGCGTGGTGCTGGGGTAGTGTGGGTTCGATTTTGAAGGGGGATCGAAGGGAAGTGCGGGTCCGGATGGCCCCGTTTGGTTTAACCCCCGCCGTTTGTCGCCGGAGTGCTGGTGTTGTGTTGAGGGCTTTGCTGGAGGGAGAGAGAGAGGTACATGGGTGCCTGGGGAGACAGGGGGATTATAAGAAGTGATACTTAGAGAATGCTACGTAAAACCGTATGTGTGGGGTGGAGGGTTTGGTTTGAGCTCTCTTTTTTTGGGTATGTGCATTTGACTCGGCGGTTACGTGATCCCGGTATATTATCGTTGGGTGCGCATTTTGTTGCTTGGGTTACAATGTGCTTGGTGGAGTGATATGACGGAAATGTGGGTTATTTAGGCAAAATCGACTGGAGAGAGGTGCAGGTCGCTGAATTCGTTCGTTGCTTCGTCTGTGTATTACTATATTTCTAGTCATGGTTTTTGGTCATTCGTGAACGGATGGGCAGGACTATTGATGCGTAGAATACTAGATGTTATGAGTGAATTGCCGTTAATGATACTTTTAGATGTGTATAATGCAGCATCTAAAGC